GGTTGCGGGAGGGGACTATATCATACTAAACTCATATGAGGCAGTGATTGACTTACTGGACAAGAGATCCGCTATCTATTCAAGCCGGTAAGTATTCAACTCTCATACCAGCTCAAAGGGCAAAATAGCTTCAATATTCTTTTATTTTTTTTTCTAGGCCGCATTTTACGATGCTACAGGACCTGTAAGTATCTGAGCTGCTATATCTCACTAGGAAGGACTGTGTCATGTATATCTCTTGTTCAACAGTGTAGGGTGAGTTCTTGTGTTTGTTACCTCAGATCACTGCATTACCACGGACTGTGGATCACATCACGCAGATGGGAGGGAGATCTCCTGTTCATGTCTTCAGGAAAAGCGTTGAATGCCCATAGAAAGCTTTTCCATCAAGGTACGTTCGATTTCTATATGTCTGCTCCGCGGCTACTTACTACTTAGCAATTAATATGCCAATCCAGAATTCCATCCAACAAATTCCTCCATACATCGTATCCATGAACAAAAAGCATTAGGCGTTTTCCTGAACAGTCTGCTTGACACACCAGAGGAATGGGCCAGCCATATCAAACAGTCAGTGTTTCTTGAACACTCCCATGATGACCCTTTTGATGACACTACGAAACCCACCATCGACGTGTACAGGATGATCGGCGCGATCATCATCGGTGTCGCGTACGGGGTGCAAGTCCAGCCACGGGACGACCCGAATATCACCGCAGCTGCGAAGATGTACTCTGTTCTGAACGCAGCCTCTGTACCGGGTGCGTTTCTTGTGGTGAGCCGACACTCCGGGGTCTCTCCGGAGAGTGCCCTTGTGTATGTGGATTCCCATAATCTTTTTTTTTGTTCCTTCCATCAGGATATGTTCTCGATTCTCCGATACGTCCCCGCGTGGTTCCCCGGGGCATCGTTCAAGCAACAAGCGCGAGCGTGGTACGGGATCCGGGATGCGACAATCAGACCCCCGTTCATTCAGGTGAAGCAGGCAATGGTGAGGAAATTGTTTTATGAGGACCTATACGCCGACTCGGAGTCCCATAATGAGTCAAGTATCGTTCTCAATCTGTTCTAACTTCTAAGTTCCGCAGAATGATGGGACCGCAAAAGACAGCTTCACCAGTCGATGTTTAGCAACCGCAGAACAGCTCAATATCAATCCTCATCCCGAACCTGATTCTCAGGCTGATCCCACCCGTCTCTCGTCGGAAGAACACATGATCATGCAAACCGCGGGGACCCTGTACGAAGGTACGCCCACCTCCCACCTCCACCACCCAACCTGTCTGCATTATAGGAGTCGTGTCATGATTATATCTCCATGCAGGCGGCGCAGACACCGGAAAAACCGCCCTCCGGACCTTTCTTCTCGCTATGCTGTGTTTCCCGGCCGCTCAGCGCGCGGCGCAGGCGGAGCTGGACCGCGTGGTGGGTGGGGAACGTCTTCCGGAGTATCAGGACGTGGACGATCCGCACACCCTGCCTTACGTGCGGGGAATCATTTTGGAATGTCTGAGGTGTGCTCACTCAGCCTCATTTGTTTCATCCCTTTTGGGTGTTGGAATTTTGACCCAATTTTTGAATCATGTAGATGGCAGACAGTCGTTCCATTAGGCAAGTACACTGTCATTCGGGACTTGATTTTGTGATTCAATATATTTATGTCTTTTTCATGGTTTTCTCGAATTATCCAGCCGTGCCCCACCTGCTTGACACAGAGGATACGTACAAAGGGTACCACATCCCCAAAGGCTCGACGGTCATACCCAATATATGGTAAGTGTAGATCATACTCGTATTCCATCGTTCAACACAACGTTCTTGATTTTTTTTTTTTTTTAACGCATTGACGCATTGACGCATTTCCCGACTCACTCAATTTCCCTACTCACTCAATCTCCCTACTCACTCAATCTCCCTACTCACTCAATCTCCCTACTCGCTCACAGGTCAATCCTACGGGATACAAAAAGATACGGACCCACCGCATCTACATTCGACCCCGAGCGCTGGCTTCTCCGGGTCTCTGACGACAATGATAAAGGCAACGCGGTTCGATGGGAGCTGAATCCCGATATGATGCAACACGATCCGATCCCGATGAGTTTTGGGTTCGGGAGAAGGTGGGTTTTGTTCAAGTTTCTGCTGTTCCGCTATTCTGCTATTCCGTTATTCTGTCATTCCGCTATTCCGTTATTCTGCTATTCCGTTATTCTGTTATTCTGCTATTCTGCTATTCCGCTGTCCCGCTTATTCTACTCCCCAATATCCAACACACTCATTCCTCACTCATGCCCGCCCCACACCTACACAACAACAGAGTCTGCCCCGGCCAACACATGGCGCTGTCCACATTCCAGATCACCGTCGCCTCGCTTCTGTGGGGTTTCGATATCCACCCGCCCGTGGATCACGTAGATCATCAAGGGGACGGGGATCCGACGACGATGATGATGAATAAGATCAAATACATCTCGGGAATCACAAAGTGAGTACCAAGTCGAGGTTTACTCCTTCTTCTTCTTCCTGCCTCGCTACGCAACACTATTCGATGTGTTCTCTGATATAACTCTAACTCTAACTCTAACTCTAACTCTGGGGTCTGTAGTGGTCCAGCTCCTTTCGAATGCCGCATCAAGCCCCGCTCGGAGGAGCATGTGGCGGTTGTGAGACAGATGGTGGTGGATGAATGAGGGATGGACGGAAGGGAGGAAGGAAGGAAGGAAGGGAGGAAGGATCTCGTAGGTGATGCTCAGGGATAGGTTGGGATCAAGGTAGGAGGTCAATTCGGGGATTGGGAGACGGAGTTTGGTGTAGCATGCCATGACTAGTGACTAGGGAGTTGCCGATATCCCAATAGCCAGATACTCATAATACACCTCCTTTCTTGCACAGTCCCTGGTAGTATATCGGTTTAGTACACGCGCCTGTCATATTCCAACTAGTAAGAAGACTACTGGAAAAGTGGATAAATGCATAGAACGCGCGAAAGCTGGGTTCGACTCCCAGCCAGGGAGATCCTTAGGATTTTTTGTTCTTAGGTAGAAGGGTTGGTTGTATTCTATCGTATTGCACATAGCGTATCGTATGGTTATATCACAGGTGCTATTTTATGTATATTTTGGGAAGAAAAAAAGACGAGTTGGAAGCAGGTAGTAGCAAGCGAAAGAAAAGAACCCCCTAATGCTCCAACTCCTCCCACGCCCTGCCGACAGTATTCCCTAGCTCCTCCTGGGTGACCCTCTTCCCGTTGGTATAATACCCACTCGCGATCTTCGCGTCGATCTCCACCCTCGAGTCCTTCGGGATCAAATAACTCGGAATATCATACCTCTTCCTAATCTCGATCCCACTCCCCACGATCGCATCGTACTTCATATCGCTCATGCTGACCATGTTGTCGATGCGGGTGATGCCGAGCCAGTGGAGGACGTCGGGCATGAGCGCCTGGAACCGCATGTCCTTGACCCCGGCGACGAGCTCCGTGGAGCGGAAGTACGCGGAGGCGGAGTCGCCCGTGCGTTTGCGCAGGTTGTACACGAGGTATTTGGTGACCTCGCCGAGCGCGCGGCCTTCTTTGCGGAAGTACACGACGACGCCGACGCCCGGGGAGCCGTCGGTTTGGTCGGGGTGGCGGCCCTGGGCGGTGCGGATGCATTCTTCCATGGCGTAGGTGAGGTAGGGCTTGCAGGTGCAGATGTCGGAGCCGAAGACGTCCGAGCCGTTGCACTCGTCGTGCACACGCACGGTGATCATCCTCGAGGGGTCGTGGATATGCGCAGGGTTACCGACTAGAAAAAGGGTATGAGCATAGGCAAAGATACTGTAGAAGGCGGCTCACAAATATACACCGTCAACCCCCCAATGGGGGGCAAGAACACATTAATATCGGGCCTGGTGATGAGCTCGGGGTACATCCCGCCGGTGTCCTCGAACAGCGCGCGCCTGAGCAACGACTCGGCGATGCCAAACCTCTGAGCCACCCCGGGCAGATACCAAATCGGGTCGACCGCGGCCTTGGAGACATTGACCTCCACCCCCGCATCAATCCCCTGCACCGCACTCCCATCCTCCCGCGTCAACGGCTCGCTCCCCATCACGATCTTCCCATCCACCACGATCTCCCCGCGCCTCACCGCCTCGTCAATCTCCTTCAACTTAATATGCGCCTTCGTCACCGATATCGACGGGCGGATATCCAGCCCCTCCCCGCCTTTCCCGCCCTCCCTGCCCTCGCGCTCGAAGACACTGGGCACGAGATGCCCCCACGGGTCCATGCTCACGATCTTGCGCGCGTCGCGCCACGCGGCGTTCTCGCGGATCTCCACGGGCGGCTCGGTCATCGTGTAGTCGGGCTTGTACGCGGGGTCGAGCGTGCCCAAAGCGATGCTGAGGGCGCGGTAGATGGAGTAGCTGCCGCTGTGCGCGCCGAGGGCGTTGCGGAAGGGGAGGGAGGCGGGGAGGCGCGAGCAGATGATGGGGCCGCGGAGGAGCGGGGTGGGGGCGCCCCAGGTGAGGGGGTACGGCGTGATGGAGTGCTGCGAGGGGTACGTCGTCAGCAGCACTCGTCCGGGGTACAACGATTTCTCGCGGGTGGTGTTCGCGTTCGCGGGGGCTGTGGTGGGGAGCGTCTTGGACGGCAGAGGCGGAGGCGAGGTCGGGGTGCCAGCGCTGAGATTATCCAACTGCCCATCGTGGGTGTTAGTCCCCGCAAGCAAGCAACAAGGAACCACACACCTTGACCTGCATCGCCTGCTGAGTAATCTGCAACGACTCCAGCTGGGCCAAAATCTGTTCCAACACCGCTCTATCCTGCATCTTGTGTAATCAAAGGGAGGAAAGAGAATGAAAGAGCCGTGGATCTGTTCAATTTATTTAAATTAACTCTGCGGCCACCGCACCTCATCCGCAAGGCCCACTCCGGTTACCGGCCCGTTCCGATCAGCTCCGTGTTCCGCGGATCACATCCCGAGCCGTAGAACTAAAAACAAAACAAAACAAAACTCCCTGGCTGGGAGTCGAACCCAGCTTTCGCGCGCGGGCACACTACCTGTTTTCGATGACAGGCGCGTGTACTAAACCGATATACTACCAGGGATTAGGTATCGTTTTGTTATTGTGATATAGTACACTCCAAATCCAGTACTCATTTCAACGCAATGATACAACAACATCGAGGAATTACCAGTACAGAGGAATTTTTTCACAGTACAGAAAATGAAAAAGAAAAATAACAAGCAGAAATTTCGAAGAACATACACTCCTCCTCCTCCTCCGAAACTCAATCCCTACTGAGTGCCTCCAACTTTCCCCCGCCGCCCGGAAACCTTCACGGGAACACGTTCCGTCTTCACAAGCTTCACATATTCCGAGGTAGTTGGCACACGCACGACTGAGGGAGAGCGCTGACGAGACTCCCGGTAACCCGGTGCGCCTACGCTTCTCCCCCGCGCCTGAGCTTGAACTCCGAGTCGTAATCTTGTTCTTGTCCCATTCGACTCGTCACAATCACTCCCCGCCCGATCCCCGCGGTGTGGGTGTGAACCCACACCTCCCTCCGTCAACACCCTCTCTCCCTCTCCCCTCTTCCCTCCCCGATGTATCTCCCCCCGTGACAGCGTCCCCGCCCCCGTCACGACCTCTCTAAACGACACCCTCCTCCCTCGCGACCGGCTTCTCTCCACGATCGAGCTCGCACGGGGCCGCGAATCAGCGAGTCCACGGCGTCCGCCCCGGGAGCTCCGACCCCCTGTCCCAAAACGCGGGGACGGCGGAAGACGGAGGTCGTCGTCGTCGTCGTCAGCGGAATCGTCGTCGTCGTCATCATCATCATCATCATCATCATCATCATCATCATCATCGCCGCCGCTCCGCCCCTCGCTATCTTCGAAATACCCACCCCGGTGTCCGTCCACCTCATAGGGCGAGCTCGGGGGCGGCGTTCCGCGGGAATAAGCTGGATCGGGATGTGCTGACCGCCCCCGGTGGGAGCTCGGCGTCGCGTGGAGGACGCCGGAGCTGGCTCTGTTTGAGAGCGAACTAGGCGGGGAGCGCCGCCGCCGACCGGAAACTTTCCTGCGCGGGGTGAACACCACCCCATGCCCCGTCGATGCCGCTCCTGAACCTGAGCCTGATCCTGATGCCTGTCCCCGCACCTGCTCGCGGAGCGCAGTCATACCCTCCGGGGTGAGCAGCGAGTAGAGGCCCTTGATCGCGTGGGATATGATGTCCTCCGCGCGGCCCTCGAAGGCAGTCTGCATCTGTGACTGCCCTGGGAGCGTGAGTTCCGGGGAAAGTGGATTTGGGACAGCGCGTTTGGGGTTGGAGGGGGCGCGCGCGAGGGTTCTGGGTCGGGCTGGGGACGGGTGGGGTGGTCCGGGGGGAGTGTGTTCGTTGTGTTGATGAGGTTCATCGTGTTCATCTGACGAGCGGGGGTGTTGGTTAGTCCCAGTATCACCAGAATCCAAATCCAATCAACCTACCTTCAGACTGCGAACCCTCACCCCGCCGGCGCTGCACAGGACCCACCAACCTCCTGCGATCCGATACCAAACCCCCACCACTGCCCCACGGGGAACGCGCACGCGCACGACGATGCACGGCGTCCTCGGGGTCCGACTCCGACAACACCGTGTACCGCCCTTTCTTCGTCGGAGACCCCAAAGGTTTGCTTTTCCGACGTATCACCGTGGCGGTGGCGGGGGGCTCTCCCCACTCCGCCTCCGACGACCCCGCCGCGCCCGACGACCGCGCGCGTTTCTTCCCCCGCGCCTTCGCCGAAAGCCCCCGCGACTCCGAACCCACCACACCTCCCAACGGCAACCCATCTTCATCTTCATCACTCGAACTCCCGATCTCGATAATCTCCTGAGCGGGTGTTTTGGGGGCGGGGTTTGGTGTGTTCGACCTGGGAGGGTGTTTGTTTTTGGATCCGGCGACGGACGCTGCGGTCCCGGGATGTTCGTCTCTGTGTTTTCGTGGACTGGGCTTGGAGGGAGTTTGACTACCTCGTCTGAGGTTGGACAGGCGGGAGAGATCAAGGCGGGGGATTCTGGAAGACCCGACGAGGGGACTCGAGGGTGGCAAGGAGGAAGTCGAGGGAGCAGGGGTGGGGGGTTTCGTGAACGTCGTCGAAGAGCGCAGGGGTTCGAAAAAGCCTGTGTGGCTTTCAGAGTGTGGAGGGGTGATTAAAATGGGTGTGGGGGAAGAGGGCATTTCGTGTGAGAGGATGATATCAAAGTCGGAAGCGTCCCATAATTCGAGCTCGTCGTCGGATCTCTCTTTGTGGACCTCAACGAGTTGGACATCGTCTTGTTCCGCTGCATCGTCTTGTTTCTCCTTTCGATGTCTCTCATCCTCCAGAAAAGCCCGCAGGTCAGCCGCGTCGTCTTCGTCATTGGTCGGGTCGATGGCGTGAGTGGCCCGGGACGTCAGATTCGACAGGGTCATACGAGGCCCATCCACCCCGTGCTGCTCGTCAACATCCGCAAACGAATCCAGTTCATCGTCGCTCTCCTCCCGACCTCCCCCTTTCCCCCCCTTTTCATACTCCAGCTGTTCATCCCCCACCGCAGCAAACCGGCCAAAATCCCATCTCCCATCCAACCCCCGCACGACCCCCCGATCTTTCACCAACTGCCCCGTGCGAATGTCCACGATATCGTCCTGGTCCACCCGGAGCGAGTATCTCTCCGCAAGCGTCGACCAGACAGACAGCAATCTCGACGTCGACCGGGACCGGAGCGTGGAAATATCAGGTGTCTCGGTGCTCGAAAGCGGGGTCGATGAAAACCGGGATCCAGGGCGGATGCTAGGACCGGAAAAGGAAGGGTTTTTTTGGCTAGACGGGGTTGTATCTGCGGGTGCACCGTGGAAGAGGGAGTGGGATCTGGACGGGGGTGACGCGGAAGGTGTGATTAATGCAGGCTGCAGGCTATCCGTTCTATGTTCAATCCCCATGGCTTATATCGTGAGGCGGCCAGAGAGAGTAGATCAAAAACGTTTTCTATCTGGAATAGAAGTCTTTGGCCAGCGCTAGCGCTGAGCACCGAGAGCGCGTTTTCGCGAATGGTTCAAGTTGTGAAGAAACTATGACCGCGCACGTGATTGATTCAAATTGTCCCCGGTCCGCCAAAAAAAAAAAAACTTTTTTCTGTTAGTGTTCCCGGAAGGTACGTATGTAGTCTTCCGGCTCGAGGAAGCGAGGTTGAGGTTCTGCGTAGAATACGAATACAACAAAGGGCAGAGATTTCATTTTGGTTCAGCTTCTTCGGAACTACATAGTGCTAAGTGTTAGCAGCAAAACTCACTGCCGCGGTAGCTAGGTAAGTACCAAGGTCGACCAAGGTGCGTCTCCGATGCTCGTCAAGTAAATGATATGTGCTTATTTGCATTTCGTCCAACCTTCCCCCGGTCTTCCTAATACTTGCTCACGACAAATGTTCTCGAAACGACCTCGATGGGTGTCATCCGCCGACATTACACCAATGTGGTAGATTAATGCAAAGGGATTATTTCATGAAATAGTAAGTAGAAGACGTAAAAGTTTGAATCCCAGCTATTAATATTTAATATTTGATCTTTAATATTAAATCCCCGTATGGGCTTTGACTACTATTTTCCTGGCTCTCTGGCTCATGCTCATTGCTGACCCGGATTCGTTCGAACTGATGATGAGATTTTGGCAGTGCTTGCAAGCGTTTACGGAATTCGAATTCCGTCGTATATCGCTGAGCTTGGATTTTTTTCAGGGAATCTTGAACGGGGTTTCAAGTTATGTTATGCCTCAGTACTTGTGCCAAATCGAGTCGGTATACACGCTGTACTCGAAGGGTGAGCATAATATACCTGGATGAATATATTTCACTTAACACCTGTGTTCACGATGAGCTCGATTAGATGCATACCCGATTGATTGTCTTTATGGCAACAAGACGATACCTCGGACACAAAGGTTAGTATCTATCTATCTATCTATCTATCGAAACAAGCTTCTAGATTGATTGAATTCCAGAAAACACTGGCAATTCCGAGTCCCTTATTTATCGATCCTAGTACATACATAGTGCAGTCTGAAGATATTCGGATTGGAAAACGGGTTATGTATTAAGCTCCAGAATCCTGCATGTGGTTGAGCTCGCGTACTGAGCCTGTTCTCAAACCGCGACTCGACTCACTCCTCCGTCAGCAGCGTCTCAGGATCATCATATATATATATATTATATACATATCGATCGCTATACATTCAGTTTCTTCCCCCTCTGACTCCCAAGAAGCCATTGCCATTTTAATTCTGATCTCAAAGTAAAAGTAGCAGAGAGCCTGCATCCCGACACCCACCTCGTCTCGAAAAGAAAAACGAAAAACGAAACTGCGCTAGCTCCCCATGTCTCCGCTCGTAAACCCCCACCACGCTCTTAAACCGCACAGATTTATTTTTGTCGAAGAAAGTACATCACGATGCCATTCTCTGTTTATTCTGTTTCTGAAGCCCACTGTACTGATGTTGCCTGGCAGAGTCCTTCGACGTAGAGCTTGGCACCTCCGCTAATAAGAAAACATTCCCGACGCGGTCTCCGTACTGCAGAAATGGTTGGTACTACTCCATAACACCCCCCCCCCCCTTCAATCCAGGCATGTTCTACGGATAAATAAATAAATAAATAATACCCCACACACAGCATGCGATTTCTGCCACCTGAAGAAACGAAAATGCGAGTTCACTGACCCCACAAGCAATGCCTGCTCGATGTGTCTCCGCTTCGGACGTACGAGTGAGTCTTTCGGTGACGGTACCTCAGCCGAGTCTATTTTGTAATTGTAATTGGAATTGTAATTGGAATTGCTCAACGCACACACCACTCTAGCCTGCTCGTACAAGCGTCAATATCTCTTCGACTCCCAAAATCATCATCGATCTGATCTCAGGACGCCTCGAAAGAGAGGGATCGGAAACGCTTGTGCTGATGTTGTCGTAAAGGAAGAGCCCCGCGAGGGTCAAGCGCTTCGAGTTATCAAGGTCAGACTTGTCCGTCTTGTTGTGAACTACCACCACCAAAACACGATCTTCTTCGTTTCTCAAGTGTGGCCACACGATGC